ATTCAAGGTATTGCAAGAAAGAAGCAGTCACACAGTACTCACCCATCAACGTTAGCATTCAGAAATGAAGGGAACATATAGCCCTTTCCAAACAAAGCAGAAACGGAACAAGTTCATTACCATTAGACTGGCCTTAAAAACAAACACGAGGGAGGCATTCTGGCATGGTGGGTAAAGCCACCGTCCGAGAAGAGAATCCCACATGGGTTCAAGATTCAGCTGCTCCACTTCTGATCCTGCTCCCCAGTAACGCTGTTGGAAGAATAGCAAGGGATGGCCCAAGTACCCGAGCTTCTGCGCCCACGTGGGAAACTCACAGGAAGCTCTATGCTCTGGCTCGGACCTGTCCCATCTGACTCGTGACAGTCATCTGGAGAGCAAAACAGGGAGTGGAAGATTTCTGTCAACTCTGGCTTTCAAATAAATAACTCTCTTTTAACAAAAAAGATAAACAAAATAAGTGTTTTGGGGAGTTCAAACCTGACAGCAATATGAAAACATTTAAAAGGATAAAACTCTCTGGTAGAACAAAAACTAGTAATGGAAAGGACTGCAGCCTGAGCACCAGAAACAATTACACCGCCAAGACCAACAGTAACCAAGAAAGGACACACAGGACAACTGGAAAACCATTTTTAAAATCTCAGTAAGAACTTACCTATAATAACCCTAAATGTAAATATTAAATTCCCTAATGAAAAGATGGATAGATTTTTATCATATCCAGTAGCATATTGTTGAACTTCATGGCATTGGAAATTTCTGTTCTTCCTGTTGCTGATTTTGTATTGTGGCTTCTCATTTAAAGGGATGTACAGTAACTATGTAATGGAGACTATCATATCCAAATGTGAGGATACAGTGCAGTATGCCTCTCTACTTCCAGATCAAAGATGGACTCCCAGTGAAACGGTTATATATATCTTGACAACAGGATGTTGGACACTCTGCCATTGTCCATGCCCGCAATGATGGACGTATGACAGTTTATGAAGAATACTATTATATTATAGAGGAACTCAGGGGGTTGGGGAGGAGAGTTGCAGAGGGAGTAAGAGAAATCCCAGGGCCTATGGAACTGTGTCATAAAATGATTTAAAAAAAATGGATAAAAAGACTGATTTTTCTTAAAAATACAGACTTACTATATCCCACGAAATTGCTGAAGCCCACTCTACTGCTTTATATCAGATATGTATTCCATTTTATAAAATACCTTTTTGGAAACAGTGCTTTTGGGCCTGGCACAATGGCCTCGTGGATAAAGTCCTCGCCTTGCACATATCAACATCCCTTTTGGGCACTGTTTCTAATCCCCTCTCCACTTCCCTTCCTACTCCCTGCTTGTGGCCTGGGAAAGCGGTAGAGGATGGCCCAAAGCCTTGGGACCGTGTACTTCCACGGGAGACCTGGAAGAGACTCCTGGCTACTGGCTTTGGACCAGCTCAGTTTTGGCTGTTGTGGCCACTTAGGGAGTGAATCAGTGGGTAGAAGATCTTTCTGTCTCTCCTCTTTGTATATCTGATTTTCTAAGGAAAATAAATAAATTTTTAAAATATCATTAAATAACAAATTTTGCTCTTCTGTCATTAACATTTTTTGATATGAGTCTCTACATTTAAGTGCACCCCTCCTCCTGTGCAGGGAATGTTTGAGTCTGTACCCTCTGTTTTTATGTTTAAAAAAAACTATGCATAAATCAGTCCCTTTTATATCTTTTTTATTTTTAATTCATTCCATGATTTTCCCAAATCATCTACTCCAATTTTTCCAAAATATCGCTTTTTATACTTGGCCTTTATTTGTTAATGTTTCGTTTCACTAGTATTTTTTTTTTTAGATTTTCCAACTTGTTTTCAGACTCCCCTGTTATCATACAGCCTTCATCCTGAGCTTATTTTTAGAAATGTCGAATCGTCTGTCATTTTTATGAGAATGTTGGAGATTATTGGATCTTTCCTAGGCTTCTTTGGGGGCAATTCATTTAACAATGCATATTGTTCATTTCATTTTAAGGTTTTTACTGATCTGTTAACAGTTCACCCCCCAAATTCTAGATGAAGTATGATGGGGTGCACACATTATGGTCCCTAGATTAACCTGCTGCAAGGGGCACCTGCATCCTTTATCAGAGTGTCCAGTTTGAGCCCTCGTTATTCCACACTTCCGATCCAGCTTTCCCTGCATCCGCGAGGCAGACGCTGGCCCAGTACTTCTGGAAAACCCAGACCAGGTTCCTGGTTTCAGCCCATCTCTCCCTCCATGTGTGTTAATCTGCCTTTCAAATAAATAAATCTTTTCAAGGAGGAAATAACAGCTCTTTTGAGTGTTTTTCTGAAAACTGAGTTAATACTTAACCAAGATCACTTCTTTCCACATGCTATTCGTCCAATAAAGATTAACATTTTATTGGTTATTACTGCCTGGGAGGGTCTTTGTACAGTACAATCACTCTTCCTTTCAGGGTTACTTTGCCTTACTCCAAACACCTTCTTAAGGTTAGGTTATGGACTACGGAAATGGCCTAACAAGGTACAATTGCTTTACTTCCTGTGTTTGTTTAAACTGAGTCTCTGCAGGGACTCCTTGGACCATTCACGACTGTCCCATTCCTGTGGCTGCAGTCACAAGGTCAGTGGTTGCTAAGGACTACATTATTACTTTAAAAGAAATCTGCCTCCAATATGATCGAGAGAGAGTCTCTTGGCCTTCATGAGCACTTTCAGAAATTATCACGATTTGTCAGTGTTTCATAGTGTTTTACTTCTTGGCTTGTTATAAATGGTAGATTAGGGATTTCCTCTTTTTTTCCCTTGCTGTTCTGACAAGTTTCAAGCAAAGAAGGGAAATAACTCTGCTTTGACTTGAAGACTATTTAAAAATCAGGGGAGTCACAGAGAAGGAGGGACTGAAACACAGAGACCAAGAATAAGAGAGAAGGAGAAAGAGCCAGGCCAGACGAAGGCCAGGAGCCAGCAGCTTCTTCCAGATCTCCCACATGGTGGCACAGACCTAAGCCCTGGGTTATCTTCCTGCACTTTTCCCAGGCTTTCAGCAGGGAGCTAGATTGGAAGTAGAGAAGCGGAGACATAAACCAATACCCACATGGATTACTGGCACCACAAAGCAGCAGCTTTTACTTGTCAGGTTATCACGCTGGTCCCGTACTGACCTCATGAATCCTATGTGTGGCATGATACTTTTTTACTTGTTATCATTGTTGTTTTTAATTGTTGTTTCCCCAAGCCTGATTTTTTTTTCTGAAGTATAATTGAATATGTGTTCATTTTTTCCCCCTTTCTTTTTAACAAGGCAATCTTCAGCTAAGCAGTTTATTCTGCATTTAGCCTGGTGATGCTATGCTGTCACTCCTGAATGCATCAGCGCCATTTTAATGACTAAGCACACTGAACTATTCGTATGTTTGTTTGCAGGTTACTTCCATTTTGAAACTACACAATTTAGAGCATTATTCTTTTTTAATAGATATGTATACATTATAAAAACTTCAATTTACAAGATCTAAGTACACTTTCTGCTAAGATCTGAAAATTAGAATGTGTTAAATCAATTCCCTAGTTTCTTATGAATTTAAGTCACATCATTTGTAGTTTCATAACACTGCAAAATGCTTCTACTAACTGTGGAAGAAAATATCATGTGTGTTTAACATCAATAATCTGTGACACTGTGTCTGATCATGAACTCAGCAAAGGACATTAATGTTCCTATTTTAAGTTGCTCATTATCTTGAGACAGTCTTGGACTTCATTTTATTGGAGCACTCGCCCAGCAACTTTTCAAATCATCCCAATTTTGCTACCACGTTAGTAAAAGTATACCTACTACCACAAGTCATTATGTGGGCAAAGAATTTGTGTCCTCCAGAAACTCATGCAAAAGTTGGTGGAATGATTTTAAGAAGGTTCACAAAAATGAAAAGAATCCACTGGAAATATTCAATATCAACATGGAAAGTAAGAAAGCAAGCTGATTTTGCCAGTAGAACAGTAGGAACCATGCATATGCTTGTCAGTATCCAAGCTCCTAATTACTCAAAGGACTTTGTGTGAAAATAACCTGGAACATATGTTTTAAACTCCCTTCAATCTTACTCTCAACAGTAGCTTCAAGTTCATTTTGTTTTTATATGAACTGTTGTATAGTAACAAAATATATTTAAAAACCTAGGTCAGGCAGTATTGTACTTCACATATGTAAAATCTTATGTAATTTTCCAGATAGCACCACAACTGGTTTTATCAATGTGATAGACTTAATAACTACCTACTTCCACTGCAAATGCTTAGAAACTCTGCATAAAACAAAATATTCTAAAATAAATCTCTCCTAGGACAGCTAGAAATTGCAAACGCCTCAGGCATCTGAAACTAAAGGGATGGTAAACACAAAACTTGACACTTTGATGGCCAGAACTAGTATGAGCAGGTGCAAAAAGTGGAGCACCCGACAAATCCAATTCCTTAATTGCTAGGAGCTTGAATCTTTTTTTTTTTTTTATTTTTTTCATCAAAACCACATAGACAACTTTTTTATTGTATCCGTATTAGGTACAGTCAAAAAATAAAAATACCACACTCCAGAACATGACACAGATTTATACAATACAAATGTAAAGAACATAGATAAGACTTAAGTATGTGCTCTTTAACCACACCCATATCAGAGTTTTTAAAACTAAGCTTTACAATTCACTTATCTGAAACTCTAGCGTTAGGAGAGGATGGATGCCATGAAATGGTCAATCCCAGGCTTATATGAGACAGTTCTATTGGCGGGTTTATTCATGAGGAGAAACACTTTACTGTAACTTTTTTGTTAACGGAGCCATGCTGAGCAGTGACATTGTTATGTCATGGAGGAGAAGTATATAAGTATAGCAGGTATAAGTATATAAGTATAGCAGGTATAAGTATTACTTTAGGAATGATAACTCAACAAGATTGACATTTATTAAGTCATACATACTTGCCAATAGCTTATAAATTATAAAACGTAGCTATGGAAGTTAATGTTTTAGATAGGAAGGTTATAAACAGAACTGATTAAACTTTCAAATGATCCCCTAAGTGAGGCTTTTTTTCTTATAAAATACCTTCTTTTAGGAACAGGTTATTTATCCTTTTTGGTGATCTTAGAAGAGGCCAGGAGACCACAGATACAGATCAGCCCTGATGAAGTGTGACTGTGAAGAACCACAGGCAGCAGACACAACAAGCATGACAGCATGGGGAACTGACCTGGGTGGAATAACAGCCCAACCTTGTGTGTCAGCATATTTGAAGGGAGTTGGGTTTATGCAGTATATACTAACCAAAGAGGGTTATTTAACTTTCTAAGATGTCAGTGCAAAACTAGAATTTTCTTCAAAAACATTTTATTTTCTGATGAATTTCAACCATATTTAGATTTAGTAAAGAATCAAACACAATAAAATCTCTATTTGCTCAGAGAGCACAGCAAACCAGCTGACAAGACTTTATCTTAAAGACAAAGTGTTGAGACTGCCAAGGTATAAGATCATGTCTCCACTGTATAAAGGCAATGCCTGCTACAGTATAAATGTTAGTCAAGGAGTTGTCACAAATACTTCGGATCTTCAAAACTTAGCCATCTCTAGACCAAAGGAAATACAAAGCCACACGATACTCGGGAACTCTACAAACCCATGCTTCTTTTATTCCTCTTCTTCTGCATTTGTCTCCGAGTACATCGGCCAGAGCGCTGCATTGGGGCGGCAGACAAAAGCATCAGTTTCATTTCCCAACTCTGACAGCTGTTCCAGTGAAGACACACAAGGATAGTGGTCTTTTAACATGTCTGGCAATTTTGAGGTCTTCTCTTGAATACGTCGGGAACGTCTCACTGGTGTCAGAAACTTCAATTCTTTAAACACAGAATTTGTTTCATCAAATTGCATCTTCTTTTTTGCACTTCGCAAGTATGGTGTGGTAGATACACTGTATTTAATTATGCTACTTGATTCAGCTTCTGTACTGGGGGTTAGGACATCACTGGCTGAATCTTTCGTTTTGTCATCTTGTTCTTCTTCACAATCTGCAAATGCCACACTGCTGTGATGTTTGCTCTCCGCCTCCTGTTTTACTGGTGTCTGTTTAAGGCCTTTCTCTTCAGTGTCGTCTTCTTGGGTTTCTTCCTTGGTTCCACAAGCCTCTTCAGTTTTTCCTCCAAGATTAGCCTCTTGAGTTTTCGTTGTTAGAATGTCTGCGATTACATGCTGCAACTCTTCCATGGGCTGAGCCCCTGCCAGAATGGCTTTCTCATAGATTCCAATAATCTCTTCGACAGAGCTTGTGTCTGCCTCCAGTTTTGCAATACAAATCCAATATTTAACGAGTTTTTTGGCATCTGGAATATTTTTAATCAAGTCATTCAATATGGCCAATATTTCTTCTTTTTGGCATCCCGCACTGATGAGCTTGAGGCACTCAGAAATGGTCTTGTTCACTTTGTCAGTGAATAATCTTTGTTCATCCTCTTCTACCATGGTTGTCCAGAAGGACCCGACTGGGGTTTCCTCCTGCTCTTTGGGCTCAGGCTGCTTGACCCCTGGGTTAGGAGGCCTTTTCAGCACCCTTTCCTTAGCAGCTTTCCACTCACTCAGACGAGATCTTCTCTGTTCTGCAGTTTCTTTGGGCTGACCTGCCTTACTGCTAACAGCTGCTTTTGCGCTTGCAGCAGGTCTCTGCTGGCCTGTGGGCTTGGGCTTCTCCACCAACTTGGTAGTGGAAGCTGCAGCAGGCTTCGCCCCCAGTGCGGGCACCACACCACGGGACTGTGCTTGGTTTCGTCTTATGTCCTGAGAAGCGCTGGCTTTAATGCTGGGGAGGGCTGCTTTGGACTGTAATGACTGTTTCTCCTGAGGCCCTTTGCGGATGGTAACACTGGCAGAGCTTCTAGCGACGCCTGGTTCCCTGGTGTGGTGGGTTTTGATCTGGTGACTTCTGATAGGAGGTCGTACCAGCTGCGTACCCTGAGCTGTCTTGTGTGAAACCTGCTCACTTTTCACTGTTGCACTGCTAGTGTTTACAGGCTGCGGCTTTGGGACTTTGGAGATGGCACTCATGAGTGTTTTTGTTGTTGTCGAACTCACATCTTTGCCAGGGTGTGGTTTCCAGAATGAATTAACTTTAGACTGGACGATTTGGCCACGGTAAGCTCCAAGCACAGGCTTTTTGGGCATGTTAGAATCTTGTTTTGTCTTTTCCACAGTCACTGGCTTCTTATTGTTGTTTTTAAGGTGGTATGCTTGGCTCAATGTCATATGCTGACTGTGGCAATCATCCTTAACTGGTAGCTGTACAGCCTGATTTTCATCATGTAAAGGTTTCCCACCAATTACTGCAGCTGAACTGTTCAGTTCATTAGACGGCTTCAAAGGAATGCCATCCTTGTTCTGTGCTGCATTATTTTTGTTCTTTATAGGTCTATTGATATTTTCTTTATCAGCCATTTTCATCTTAAGATTCGGAGCTCTAGTTCCTTTCTGGATCTGGTCCTCAGATATCATCACTGTTTGGTTTCCACAACTGGATAATATTCGATTTTCCTGCTTCAATGAAAAAAAGGTTTTTCTTCTTAACAAATGTTCCTTGAGTTTCTGTTTCCTTTGTTCCCTGAACTCCGACTGGCTCCTCCGACTCGGGGGCAGCTTCAGGTCTCCGGGCACCGGAGGAGTGCTCATTGGAGACTGTGGGCTCGGGCCTCACTCTGCTCTAGGAGCTTGAATCTTAATGTCTGCTGAGAAAAAGTTTCCTCCATATGTGTTTAGGGATTATAACATAAATCCCAGAGAAAAGCCACGACCCTGTGAATACTAAATCCTCAGAATACAAGGAACTAGAAAACATTCTCCTGCTTTTTGAAGGAAGAGACAAAATTATTGTCTCAGTTTTAAATTTTGAACGAGTAAAAAAAAATTCTTTAATAAGAATTCCAAGGTAATATTATCTGAGGTTAGGAGTCTAATTTATAATACTTTCAGGTGATAAGAATCCAAGCTGAATCATACTGGCATTTAAGAAAACAAAAAGATACATAAATATAGATACATAGAACAGAATAGAGAGCCCAGAAATCAATCTAGATATATAGAGTCTACTGGTCTTTGACAAAAGCATTCAGACGATATAACAAAATACAGAAAGTCTCTTCAAATGGTGCGGGATAAAATTGGATTTATATCTATATAAAAATAAAATTAGATCCATACCTTTCACACGTACAAAACGAAAATTGTAACCCAAAAAGATCAAAGATCAAACACCCAAGACTAAATTTTCTGGAAGAAAACGTAGGTATAGGCGATGACTTCTTGGATAAGAACCACAATCCATAGGCTGCAAAAGCAAAACTGAACACATGGGACCGGAACAAACTCAGAAGCTTCTACAAGCAAAGTATGCAATCAGTAGAGTGAAGAGACATACAGAATGGGAACAACATTTACAAAGCACCTGGCAGACAAAGGATGAATACCCAGGAGATATCAGCAACTTAAACAGTTAAGAAATAGGTTAAGGACTCCAATGGACAGTCCTCAAGAGAAGAAACACACATGGCCACAAGTGTATTTTAAAAACCCTCGTGATTTACCATCAGGGAAATGGGAATCAAAAGCACACTAAGGAATCACCTTAGCTCCGAGTGAACAAAGGTGAACACTTATACACTGTTGGAGAGAATGCAAATTAGGGCTGCCACCACAGGAAATAGTGTGGAAATTTCTTCAAAGACTAGAAATAGACTTCCCAAATAATCACACCAAAAACTTAAACACAATATATCAAAGAGATGCCTTCACTATGTCTAAGCAGCACTGTTTTTGATAGCCAAAATTTGGAATCTACCAAGATACCCATCATGAGATGAATACATGAAGAAAATGTGATTAAAAAAATACACAATAGAGAAGTATTCAGCTGTAAAAACAAATGCAATTTCACAATATGCAGCAAAAATGACTCAACTTTTAAAATAAACTCAATTTTTAAAATAAATGTCTTTTTACTGGTATTGCTGCAAATATAGTATTTGTAAAATTTTGTATACCATTGTCAAACCAATGGTTAATAATGCTGCACTACAGTCTTCATGGTCTGATTCATTTAAAATTTACTTGAAAATGGCCATTTTTCCATTCAGTTGTCAGTTACAGTCACTGTCTATATATCCAAATTACGTCTTCTTGCTTTGTTACTTGTCAAATTTCTCATTTTGTGAAGCATTAAGCTTTTTTTTTTTTAACTGAAAAGTGAATTAAAAGCATGTTGTCTCAAGAATTCCAAAAAGCAAAAAGAGGAGTGGGAAAGAGAAAAGAGAAGAAGGTAAGAAATGTTTTCTAAGATTTGCTTCTACAAATCGCTTTAAATCTGCTATAAATTTTAAAAAGTTAAAAACGAATCCAAGCTGATATCACTGATGTGCAAAAAATTTAAAGAGTGACCTAAGCTACTTTCATATAGAATAATCAAAGCAGAAATGATACATAGTTTCCAAATGTTATAAGATGTATCAGAAAGTAATTAGTAAGCCAACAAGATTAACAGAATGCCAAAAAATAACAAATGTGACTAATAATCAGAAAACACTTAGAATATATGTTAAATGCCTAAAGATGTACAAGAAAAATGAAAGAGAAGGAACCCAGGATAGAGAAAACAAAGAAATTCTGCAGGGAGTGGAGTGGGGTAGAATAGAACTCCTGAAAATGAAATTTGATATTTTATAATCCAATGAATTAGGAAAATGAATTCAATGTGGTCAATAGAAAAATTAGCAGACAGAGCAGTATGAATAATTCAACATGTAGCACTGGCTGATAAAGTACTGGAGACATAAGAAAGGTTAAAATATATGGAGAAAAGATCCAAAACTGTATTTATTTGAAATATTAGGAAATGAGGATGTAGAAGAGGCAGTGGCTCAAATAAGTTCTAAATAAAATATGTGTAAGCACCACAAGTGCTAAACAAAGTATCTACATGTATACTCATCATACAGAAATAGCACATCACCCAAGGCACTGGAGATAAAAACTTAAAAGGAACCAAGATGGAAAAAGTTTACCCAGTAACAGAATAAAGTCACAGTAGACAAATAACTGTAAAACCTAATATAATTTTAATACCCTATGTTATTCTGTAATAGGGCGGGAGAGCAGAGAAACCTTCCATCTCCCTAGAATGTGTAAGAAAGACGTGAAATATAATCTACCAGGATCATAACTGGTAACTCATAGACAACAGACTCAAATCAGCATTAGACGATAAACTACAAAGACCATATAGGGAAAATCAAGAACGATCCTGACAACCTCTTAACAGGAGGTCATATGCACAGAGCAGGGGTGGACATCAGAGCGGAGCAGGAGGACAGGAGGAAGCTTGTATCCCAACCTTTAAGTCTACCGGAATTCTCACCAAGGACTATCAGTGTGAGCACCTAGAACTACAACCCAACCGCCAAGGAGACCACAGGGAATTGGAGTGCCTTTGGAGGCTGAGAACTCTGAGATCATCCTCTCCCACTTGGATCTACCACTTGGAATGAGAGAAGTCCAAATCCTTCCTCACAGGATCCAAGGACATCAGAACAACAGCCAGGAGCCCTGAGCAGTCCACAGAAACAGAACAGTAAACTTCCTTCGGGACTTGGGAGAGGCGCTTTCTCCGATCCTCGCTTGGTTCCAGCTTTGGGTCCCCACCCTCTCTCGTAATGACCATCAGGATCGCTCCAGACACCCCTCAAAACAAACTAACAAACGAGCAAACAAAAACTCTAGAATAGAGAGAGAACAACAAAGAGGGCTTGGAATCAGACAGGAAACAGTCAGCGTGGATTCACTGATACCTTACTAGGTGGGACACAAAGATTAGTTACTCCTCACTAAGGTATTGAAGATTTCTCTACATACCCCTCCTCAAACTGTTCTGCACCTCAACTGTTGACATATGTCTTGGAGTTGTAAGCCAGTCTAGACTACCCAAAAAAGCCAGATTCAGCAAAATTATGCTGCAACACTATAAAATACTAAATACTATAATGAACACATGAGACAGCTGAATAGTAATCTATAGCCATTTTAAGGTGTATAGAATCTAGTTGTATATAAACTAAAATTGAAATGTCAATGAAGAAGTCACAGGATGTGGTTAAGAACTTGCATTTTTTTTAACATATTGGTTACTCAATACTATGTCAATTAATTCCACGTTATAAATTGTTAATGTTACGTTGGGGCTTTTAATTGAGTGGGATGATACTCTACTGGCTCTACCTTCAGACCAGAGACAGTCTCCCCAACAGGCGGTTGAACTTATCTGGACAATAAGATATTGGACTCTATGCTTGGTATATGCTTGCAATGAAACAATCTCATGTAAACTTGAACTGTGGTTATGCAACAAGGTGGAGGAATCCACCATGGGAAGGTGGTTTGGGGAGGAGTGGGGGGAATCCCAGTACCTATAAAACTGTCACATAATGCAACGTAATTAACAACAACAACAACAAAAAAGTCACAGTAGAGTTCCTCAAGGCAAAATAAATCAGAAAAGAGATGAGCAAACAGAAGCACAGAAAGATCACACAGACTCTTTGGGGGGGACATCAGGCTTTACATTACTGTGACTATAAAGCACCTTTATAGCAGTGCACATTCTCTGTTTTGTCTCTATTTGAAAGGCAAAGGGACAAAGAGGGAGAAGAGAGATGGGAGAAAGACAGAGGGAGGAGGAAAAAGACAGAAAATCTACTGATTCACTCCCCATCCCCAGCTGGTCACCACAGTCGGGGTTGGGTCAGGACAAAGCCAAATGCTGGAATTTCATCTTACTCTTCCACATGGGTGGCAAGGACCCAACTATCGCCATCCACGGCTTCCCTGGGTGCATAAGCAGGGCACGGGATCCGAATGCAGGTAGCCAGGGCTAGATTTGTATACTCTTGATAAGAAATATGGCACCAGCTTATCCCCACTACATCACAACACCCACCCAAAAGAGAGCTCACAGCCTACTAATGCCTCAGTAGCCCTTACTGGAACACATCCTGGACAGCTGTTTGTCTCATCTTTATTATGAAAGAAAATAAACTTTTGTTCCTCTCACAAGTGTAAGATCTGAAGTTAAGAAAATCCATTGTGTGGCTTTTACCAAACCCAAATTAAAACTAACACTAATGTTGATAAAAATTCAAAAGTAGGACCCAGAGGGCAACTCATAAGCTATTGTATAAACAAGGATGCATCTACACAGTGTCCAGCTAAACCAGACTAGCCTCACCTGAATGTGAAACGCTTTTGAGGATACTGCACCAAATGGGAGAGAGTGGGCGAGTTTTAATGGATGAAAATGTTTTCAATTTTTAATTAGGCATGCCATATGTAAAAAATGGAAAAACCTTAATCAAAGGATCTCAATTTCCCACATCTTCTCTAAAGCATATGATCTTGAATATAAATGAGCTGGGCAACAGATCTTTGATTTAGCAAATGTTACTCATATATTTGAAATCTCAGTAATAGAAGTAATCATTCTTAAATGGCATAGATTTTCTTTCACAGCATGTTAACTAAGTCTAAAAATAATTCCCAAATTATGAGACCAATGACAATGTGAGCTGAAATAAATATTTGACCTCTCCTGGTAAATAGTATAAAGGACAAAATAGATTCACATGTAC